GAAAAACAAGCAAAAACAACCAAAAAACCCCAAATCCAGACACTCGATAAATATCTTTTCTTAAAAGAATAAAAGTAAGATTCAAGTATCATTAACCTATGTATTAAACTTAATTGGTTTATCTAGAAATATTTGATAATGTTGGCCTTAAACCAAGTTCCTCCAACAAAATTCAATCAAGTGGAGATACCCAACTGCACTTCTAATCAAAGGAAATCACAAATAGTCAATCATTACCATGAAAGTTAAAAAAAAAAAAACCACACTAAAAAATTGTGCATTTATCTGCTGACACAATATCGTCAGCATCAAGTTTTCCAAAATCAAATATTCATATCACACACATCAAATATGAAGTAAGCATAAGCATAATTCATTAAAGAATTTTAACTTATCAAAAGACAATTCTAATTAATAAATGATTTTTAAAAACCACAATCAAGGAGTTAGAATATTGATTGCACAGACTTAAGAAGCTTTTGCCTCAGAAACAGAGGCAAGAAAATTCAGTTGACTGCTAATACCATTTTTAAAGATACTACAAGAAAATACAATAAAGAACAAGTTACAGCTTTATCAACATGAATAAAATAAATACAACAGGCTCCAGGGCAGAAAAGAGATTATAAAAGGTGAATTCATGCATCCTCTATTTTTTCCCATTGTTTTCATTTGAAAGATCTTTCAACATAACTAGAAAATATTTCCATAAATCATAGAATGGCTTTGGCTGAAAGGGACCTTAAGGTCCTCTAGTACAACAGCCCCACTATGGCAAAGGACACCTTCCACTGCTTTTTTCCCCACAATAAAAATCTCTTGTATCCAAGGAATACAAATCTATTAAAATGTTTTAATTACATTGCATCAACTAGATTTGTTGCAAAACCAAAAAGTTCCTGGCATTAATGAAAACAGTACATATAAAGAACATGAAAATGTAAACTGAAACATTTCATGGTGCCTAATGAACCTGATACATTCATTCCTGGAAAACCGCCCATTTGTTTCATCAACTCTATGCAATTTTTTTTTTCAGCAACTAATTGAAGTTTCACTATAAAAAAAAAAATTCTAAAATACCATTTAATAAAAGCTACATGCTTAATACATGATATTTTACTTTGAACTGTTAAACACAGTATTAATTGCAGCCATACAGAAGCTAAGCTTCTAGTGCTTTTATGCTTATGAGATGTTGTTCAGTTCTATCTCAGAAAACTAAAGAATCACCTATCAACAGAAGACAAATGAAGGAGAAATATTTGCTTAGCTTTTAAGAGGTTTCATCACTTTATCCACACACAACCTCAACTGAAAAAGGGAAACATAAATGACCCGTGAGCATCTCAGTATATGAAGAAGATATAAGCACTCAAGGCATAAAACTCTGGAAGAAGCCTCAGTATACCCATAAAGGGAATCAAGTTAAAAATGTTCTTATGATTAACAAAACGTGTCAGCCAGAAAAACCAATGGTCTGATTTCGCATCACATCCAGGATTCTAATGGCAAGCTGCCTTTAGTATGAACAGTTTACCGACCCTCTACTCCTGGTTACCTGACTTTTTGTGCCAGACTTAGTGACTGTATGTCCTGGTTTGAGCTAAATAGAGCTAATTTTCTATTTACTGATTTTACTTTTCAGCTCAGTCTCTTTTAAGTGACTGAACTTGCTGAAAACTGGCAGCATGTTTCTCCCAAACAGCGCTGCTAGAAGATATGCTCAAAGTCAGTTGTCTTATCATGGGTGCTGTGTCTGCGCCTATGGGAGGGGAAGCAGACCCAAAACTGACCAACGAGGTATTCCATCCCACATACGTCATACTCGGTATAAAAACTGAGAGATCACGAGGGTCTTGATCCTTTTCACCCTTCTTCCATCTTGGAGCCCTTCCATCTCGACCCTTCCGTTCATCTCGATCCTGCAGAGGCCAAGGCCTGAGCAGAATCCTGCTCGTTCGTCTCCCACTGATCCTGATTTGTGTGTCCTGCATCCTGCTCCCACCTGCTGCTGAGTTTGGTCTGGGACTTTTCCAGTGCCCATCTCCGCAGAGCCTCTGGTTCGTCATTGGAGGAGGGTGGGGGCAGGATTTTATATTGGTTTTGCATACATATTTGTACATATCTGTTTGGTCTGGGACTTTTCCAGTGCCCATCTCCGCAGAGCCTCTGGTTCGTCATTGGAGGAGGGTGGGGGCAGGATTTTATATTGGTTTTGCATACATATTTGTACATATCTGTAGATATATTTCATTATTTTCCTATTTACAATATTATCCTGTAGTATTAGTACTATTGTTTCATTAAATCTGTTAGTTTTATTTTCTAACCCATAAAGTCTCTCTCCCTTATTCTCTTTTCTCTTCGGTTAATAGAGAGCGTCTGTCCAGGATTTAGTGGCCGGCCCAACCCTAAACCACAACAGATTTATTGGTGCCCGACGTGGAGCTCGACAGGATTTTATCAGTTTGCCTGAATAGTTCGAATTCCAGCTCGCTCAGTTAAGGTTGCATCGGGCTGTTTGCTTTGAGAGTCTCAAGAATGGTTGGAAAATTAAAACAGACAGATTAAATCATGTCGTTGATAAATGCAATATTATATCGTGTCTTCTTAATGGTTTGCTCTGAGTTAGGTGACAGAATGCTGCCCTACATGCCACACACGCTGTATTATTTCATACTTGTTGCTTGTGCCTATTTTCTGTATTTTTGTTACGGGCGATGGGTGAGAGCACTGCTTTTTCTTTGCTGCCTGACAATGATTTGTGCTGTGATGATGTGGGCAGTAACTTTACCAGGCTATATCGGGAGTTACATAGTAAATTTGGTTAGTAATTACTCTTTCGGTTCCGTGGCAGCAAATTTTGTTTCCCTTTCCAATTCCACGAGTTTTAGAGAAGTTTGAACATGATTTTTACTACCCAAATATTATGTTTTTCATATTCAGTTTATTAATGATGGTCCTGAATGTGCGGTGTCAGATGAAATACT